TCTCTCTCTCTCTCTCTCTCTCTCTCTCTCTCTCTCTCTCTCTCTCTCTCTCTCTCTCTCTCTCTCATATTTATATAGCCGCTCATCTCACACAAAGTTTTATTCTACTTCTTCTGAGACTTAAATCATAGGAGGAGGAGGGGAAAAAATGAAGCTAAACTCTTGGCCGGTAGAATGAAACCTACAAATTACAGTTTGGCACTGTAGCTTTTAATTGAGTTAAGTGTTATTCTCCACGTAAGGGAAAGGTATGGCTTTTATACTTAAGAGTTTTTATTTTGAAAACTCAGATAATAGTTACAGTGACCAATACGTTCTTTATTATAAAGGACAGTCCTTTATTTCAGAAAGCTGTCCTTTAGATTTATTTATTTTTCAAATCTCATTTTTGTCCTCTATTTAGGTCATTTAACTTTTACCATACAAATGGTACCACTTAATTTACAGTCTTTAAATGCATGTGAAAAATACAGAAATTAAAATAAATTTACATATACTGTTTGATTTTTATTAGATTGTGCATAATCACATTTTAAAAGATGACAAAATATCAAATATCAAAATATCAGTTCACATATACATAGAATCATAACATTGTGGAGTTGGAAGGACCACCAGGATCATCTGGTTCAGTCCTTCTTAATGGCAAAAAACCAATTAAACTATCCATGTGAGATGCCGGTCGTGCCTTTTCTTAAAAACCTCCAGATATGGAGAACCCACAACCTCCGTGGGCAAAGTGTTCCATTGTTGTACAGATCTTGCTGTCAGGATGTTTTTCCTTATATTTAAATGAAATCTGGGTAGTTGCTCAGAACTGTATACAGCACTTCAGGTGTGGTGCCACCACTGCAGAATAGAGGGCAATAAAGACTTCATGGATTTTGGATGCAGTGCTTCTTCTGACGCAGCCCAGAACTGTGTTCATTCTTCCAGCAACTCTCTTGACACTGCTGACTCAGATTCAGCTTATTGTCAGTGACCACACTCAATCCTTCTCTAATGTATTTCTTCCATACCATCAATCCCCCATGTTAGTCTGCCCTATGTGTTTACTTCCTAAACATCACATTTCTTGAAGGGCATCTTGTTCCTTTCAGCTCATCTCCTGACCTGTCCAAAGTAGACTGCAGTCAGATTCTGTATTCCTGAGTGTTGACCAGACATCCCAATTCTACAAGTTAAATAAGCAGCCCAACAGTTGCGTAGTCCAAGTCATTAATGTTGAAAAATAATTGAATAATACTGAGTGTGTCACTCATAGTCTGTCACTCGTAGTCCCATCCGAATCAAACTTTAAAATTTAGCCAGTGAGAATGCCACATAGAATCTTGTCAGATGCTTTGCTGAAATCAAGATAGATTATATCCACAATATTACCCTTGTCCACTAGATGAGTACCCTATCAAAGAAGGAAGCAAGATTTGTCTCACATGATCTATGTGGCTGTTGGCAATCAGGGAATTGTTCTCAAGGAGCTTGCAAATAGCCTGCTTTGTTATCTGCTGTAATATTTTTTATTTATTTATTTATTTATTTATTTATTTTCAAACTTGTATGCCCCCCCCCCCCCCCCACACGGGGGGTCCGGGGGGGGGCAAAAAAAAAAAAAAAAAAAAAAAAAAAA